TTGGTGTTGTGGAATTTAAAAAAGTTCATTATCTCGCTTTCAAGTTCAGGGTGTTGTCCGTAACATTCCCCCAAAGTTCAGCGGTTTTTTGTGAAATTAACCCTAACTTTCAAACAGTAAATGAAGGAAAAATGCAGTTGATATAGTACAATACAAGTAAAAGATGATTAAATGTGTGACGTACAAAACAGTAGCTCAAGACCAATGGAATTTTAATGCAAATTAACCATGAGTAAATGTCAATTGTAGGGAACAATTCAAGATACAATTAGGGGAAAATTGCACAGCAGTCAGTGTTTTCTAACGGTGGTATATGTTTGAAATAAAGTGCACTGGCACTGAGAAAGCGCGAGCACATGTCTAAGCGGTTGGGCCTTTGGTCCAAAGTTAAATATAAATATGCTACTATCTAATTTGGTATTTTTCTTTCAGCTGTTTGTGCCATGTTAACTCGTATTTATTGTACATCAAACAACAAACACATAACAAACAGGTTTTGTGGATTCTATTGACTTCATTCGCTTTCCAATAGTATCTATATATATAATGATATTATTTCGTCTGATGATTATAGAAGGGATATTTTCTTCCATAACAATAGAGCTAACTGGAATATATCTGAGCATGCCATAGGTTTGTGACTTTGGCTTATCAAGATTGAAGCACCACACCTTCTTGTCTTCAAAATCAACAGCTGGAACAGTAAGTCACTAGAGCTCTTAGTAATAATTATGTCAAATTCTTTAGAAGCTTTTTTCCATGATACCTACCTATGGTACTTTTGGGTGTCATGTTTTGCTTTTCCTGAGGTTTCCTTCTTATCGTTAATTATATACTTCAATTACTACTATGGATTTGCAAAATCTGCATTTCAATTTTGTTTTCTTTTGGGCGAGAATTATGGTAGATGAATATTATAGAAGCGATACTATTTTCTGGAAATATACAACTCAATCTAGTAATGTCTGCTCATTGATGTTTCCAAATTTACATACATCATCTATGTTTCTATATCTTGATTTAGACATCTGGAAAGGCCCTTATTGCATAATATCTTGATTTTCCTTCAAATGTATTCGGATACATGGTACATATCATGTATTCATTTTCCTCGCTGTTAATGTCACGGCATCCATAAACTTGAAGTCTGTTGTTTTATAATTTGGCTTTTGAGTTTCAGTATAGTTCTCAACAATCTTTTTGTATGTCCAAATATGATTTAACTGTTTCTTTGCTAAGACTCAAGTGAAGTATTTGATCACTCTACGTCTAACTTGCATGCTATATGCTTTCAAGACATTACGGTTACTATTGTGGTTCCTAGTTTCTTTTCATGCCAAAGTAGTGATTTGATTATTTTTGCTTTTGGGTTGCAGCCAGAATGGATGGCACCGGAAGTCTTACGAAATGAGCCTTCCAATGAGAAGTGAGTTTATTGTCCTACCATTGTTTCTGTCCTTGAGAAAGTTCGTTCCCATGAAGTTGGTTACATTGCTAACTTGAAAGGTGTCTATCATCTTCAGGTGTGATATATATAGCTTTGGTGTCATACTATGGGAGCTAGCTACCATGCGCATGCCATGGAGCGGTATGAACCCAATGCAAGTTGTTGGAGCTGTTGGGTTCCAGAATAGACGCCTTGACATACCGAAAGAGGTTGATCCGATGGTTGCACAAATAATAACTGATTGTTGGAATAGGTAAGCTTGCATTTCCAAACATTTCACATGGGCATTTGTTCTGACTACACAGATCTTAAAGCAACTTATTTAATAGTGCCAACAAACTTCATACTTAGAAGTTTGTATCTAGCACAATTTCACGGTCTAAGGAGGACATAACGTACAAATTTGTCTATATATATATCCTTAATCTTAGATCTTTGGTAATTTAGGTGACTTGTAATTGTAGTGCGGAACTTTTAAATTTCTTGGTATACATTGTTAGCCCACAAGGCCAACAACTCATTTATTTAAACTTTTAGGTAACATTGTGTCATGATACGAGCATCATATTTAAAGATGTTCTCGCTTAAAACATTATAAAATTCGGTCTAGAATAAATTATTTAACTCATTTATAGTAAAACATGCTTATGCGGGATACTCATCATGTTTTCGCTGGAGCCACATGACCTGAAGGCCTTCTTAAAGGGAAGTGTTGGTGTCAAGTTTTGCTTGTTTAGTGTCTGTCTAACAGTTGTCATTTGTTGAAGTAAAAGGAAAATTTGAGGATTATCCTCGACTCCTATTTCAAACCTTTTACTTCTGCCACTAAACTTCATATCATTTAATATTGTTCATTCAACAGCTATACTCAACAAAATGAGCATATAAAATACTTAATTTGGTTAACTTTATTCAAATTTTGTATGGGATTGCACATAATGGTTTGGTTGTTGTCTCCATATCATTGCATTCTTTCACGTGTTGCTGTGGAATAAAACTTTTGGAAGCACATATGAGTGTCCTCCTAATTTTCCTTCAAATTCTAATCAGTGCATTTGATAGGATCAGAAGCTTATGACTATTGGTGTAAATATGTCTTAATTCATTTGACTTAGTAGAGTTAAGATGCATTAAAGAGTTGCATTTAATTATGCATTTACTAAGTAAGTCAAAGGACAATCCTATATAAAGGGATCACTGCTTTTGCTGAAAGCATGAAAAAATAGAGAGAGAGAGAGAGAGAGAGACGATTAGCGAGTTGAGTCTATCACGCCCTGGTTCTAAAAACTGTATAAGTTGGAACGTGACTCAACCGACGATGCATCCTTATGGTCACATTCACGTCTCTAGATCATCTGGTACACAGATGTTTGACAAGAAACCATGCAACAGAGTATGTAACTAAGATACCAAAAAATATTAGGTTATAAATAAAGAGATCTTCAGAAATACGAAGTTCAACTACATCTATTCATAACGGAAAAGATTAAGAAATACATTATAGTCTGAAAAGGGCAACATGTGGCTCAAAAAAAGTCTAAAATAAATAAACTACTTAAACAACTAAAGCTAAAGAAACGAATAAGATAGGACGGTGATCACTACAGCTGAGTCTGCTCCTTAAAATACTCTTGATCTTGCGAAGAAAGAGCAATCTCTAAATCTAAGGTGCGCAAACCCCAGGGGAGTCCCCAACAAGCATGTAAAATGAAAAAAATGTCCATGTGTAGGTGTATGTGACAAATATAAAAGAAAAGATGAAAACTAAATTAATGGTTTATAAAATTAAAGATACTAGCTATAGAGTATCAGGAAAAATACTACTACAAATCACACAAGCATATTATGTTTTATTGTAGGTTATTTGAATTAGAGGAGAATATTTTCCATGTCTATAAGTCGGTTTTCCCATAAACTGTCCCGGGAATACGGCTTCAAGTTAGATGTTGGCCCTTAATATGTGTGTGTGTATATATAACTCATAATATCAGGTATGTGCATAAACCACTTATGTACACTATATTCTCCGTTCAATTCCTCTTTATTAAACCTCGTATTTCTCATTTTATTAAACTGACTGTCCATGAAATAATATGCACTATTCACGTGATTGCTGTAGAACAACTTCTGCAAACTATGAACATAACCGTGGTCCAGAACATCTCAAATCAAGATGAGTGCATCTCTAGTTAATACTATAATAATAGCCAAGGGAAGCCTCACACCGAGATAATGATGTTGAGAGTTATAGCCATGCTATGATAGCGCGCTTATAAATCATACTTCTGATGGAAGTCATCTTCATACACAATCAATCCTATTAGATGTCGCTAGGTGATCAACTATATCAGAACACTCCACAGTCCACACAGTATTATACATAAAATTCATATTTTGAACTAACAAGCTCATTAAGTTACCAAACATGAGAACTGAAGAAAAGATTGCAACCAAGTCTCGGTTAGCTGTAGAACCCCATAAATGGGTTTGGACTCATGTTCAAAATTGATTCAAAACGCTCTGGTGCAAAAAGGGAGGTCACAAGATTTGAACCTATGACGTTTAGAAACCTACGTAATAGAGACAAACCTTCCAACCACTAGTGTAAAGGCTTATTTGTGAAAATTGTTTCTATAAATAATATATTCTTATTAGGGTAATCATCCAAAAATAATAATTAAAGATAAGTAAATTGATTATCAAAATATATTTGAAAACTTATACTTTCTGCCAGTGAAAAGATTATTTTGGCCGAAAATAAAAAAATAAAAATTAAAAAAGTATAGTTATCGTCAAGAAAAAGGAAATTTGAGTTTAATAAGAGAAATTTATTGAAAATAAGTTTAGTTAGAAACCCCCTAAAATCTTATTAAAAGATATTTTGCTTAGTTAGTAGCTAAAAATTTACAGTAGTAACTAAAGAAGTCATTTTCTTATTCACGTAATATTAGTATTTGGGAAAATATAATACTATGAAAGACGATAGATACATCTCTAGAAATGTTTAACATACACTAGGATTTCTAAGAAAAATACTAGTTTACCAGAAAGTACAAAATACTACACAGGCTAAAAGAATTTATAGGCTTACCCTTTAACGACATGCTTCCATATATCCAACTAAGCTTGCATAAGAAAATAGTTAGATTATAAAAATGTTTATTAAGTTAATGAAAATAAAGTAAATATATTATTCAAAACCTCTAGTATATTGAGAAAATTGAATGTAATGGAGGGTCTATTCATGTCTACAAAAGAAAGTATCTCATTGAGAACGCAAATTGTACACGGAGTACACAGATCAACTTCAAATATTAAGCATTTAAACTACATCTAAATATAAAATAGTAATAATTCGTTCAAGAAGAATAGGCATGAAACACTAACAATAATCCCATACTTTGCCCGTTAATTCATAAGGTAACAAGGAAATTAATGGCTATGTATGAATTTCAAAGTAGCAAATAGGTAACTATACATGCAAGTTTAAAGAGGATTTTGCTAATCTAATGTTAACGTAATAGTTTAAAGAGGAAAATGAAATATTACGCTTGTCTTAAATAGAAACTAGAACTCTGAAAATTAGAAGTCCCTATTTGTTCCTTCTCAAGCTTTCGATGTCATTCTCGCTCTTTTCGTTCTTTTTTCCCCTGTGGATTTTGGGTAAGGAACGGAAGGGGAGAGGGAACTTTTTAAATAAAGAATTTGGTTAATATATCCCTAAGAGTGAAGGATTTTTTATTCCTCCGGGTTAATATGATGCAGTTGTTATGGTAAAACACTGACTTTGAGTTTGTGAGAAGATAGTGGAACCACTAGCCATGGTTGTTAAGATAAGATGATTTGGTTTGGCCTTCTAATCTTAATAGATTGTAATAAGGTTCCGTGTTGCATTGTGATTTTGTGCTTTCGTGTTCTTCCGACATCTCGATCCCCTACATCCTATGGTTCAGTGTGTCGGGACCAGTATGACAGTAGATTCTGCATCCATTGTTGGATTATTTAATCGATATTCGGAACAATTGGTACCAAAGCTTATGTTGGAGATTCAAACTAATATGAAGTTAAAATTCAAGGTGAAGTTGGAGGCAAGAGAAAGTTCTCTTTATAATGGTGGAGAGTGAGGGCGCTCTTCGCACAAAGAGGGTTCCACAAAGCGTTGTTGGGAAGGAGAAAATGGTGAGTTCAGTCCCTGTAGTTTCATCGGCATCCTCGAGAGAAGGATCAACTTCAACATCCACCTCGAAGACACCTATGATGGAAGAAGAGTGGGAAGATTTAGATCTCCGAGTGGTGGGGACTATTGAGTTGTGCCTCATGGATGAGGTGCTTTGCAACGTGATCGACGAGAAGACGACGATCGGTCTACGGCTAACATTATAGTCTCTATATTTCGAAGAATCTCTCCAACAAGCTTTACCTCAATATGCAACTATTCATATTGCATATGAAGGAAGACACATTAATTCACGATCATTTTAGTGTCTTTAATAAGTGGGTTAGTGATCTATTGTGTTGATGAGGAGTTGAAAGAGGACGACGAAGCGCTTCTATTGTTGAATTCATTGTCACCTTCATACGAGCACTTGGTGACCACTATCATCAATGGGAAGGACGCCCTTGAGTTTGAGCATATCATAAGTATGTTGGTGTCAAATGAGATTCAAAAGAAACCTGTGAAGACGGAGGAGTCGAGGAAATGCTTGTTTATCTTCTAATGGGACGTAGAAGCAAAAATCAGAAGGAGAATGAAGATCGTTGAAGAGGAAAATCAAAGGGCAAGACAACGTTGTTTCACTTTAGCAAGGAGCCGGAGCATATTCTTACGGAGTATAATAAGTACACCAAGCACCTATGAAAGGAGACAACAAGAGTGGTGGTTTTCAAAGCTGAGTCATAGTCAAACTTGTTCATGGTGTGTTTAGCAGAAAGCCAATATGTAGTTGAGTGGATGCTGGATTTGGATTGTTCTTATCATAATCTTAGACAGAGTGGTTCGAGATATATGAGCCACTTGATGCAGGATCAGTTTTGATGGGGAGCAATACATCGTGCAAAACGGTTTGAGATGGGGGGGGGTGAAGATCAAAATACACGATGATGCTATTAGAAGTCACTAAGGTGGGTCATGTACCGGAGTTGACGAAGAATCTTGGCTCCTTTGATGCACTATGTTCTTTGTGGTGTCAGTATAGAGCTGAAAGTTGAGTTCTAAAGCTGACCAAGGAGGCGTCGGTGGTGATGAAAGGGCAA